GGTCGAAATTTTAAAATGCTCATTTCTCAGCAACCTAGCAATATTTTTTCAAACGGAAAGCGCCATTTTACTCAGAAATGTCTATATTTTCTTTTATGACTGGTTTCAACAACTTCTGTGAGATACGTTTGAGCAGTGTCGGTCGTGGCTTATATGAAATGGCTCTTAAGTTCCAAAAGTTCAACTCAATCTCCATTGCCCAACGTTGCTTAATTTCAGATTTAGAACTTTTACGAATGCCGGACATCTCTGACCCGACCCGATTCTAGGGTCGGATCGGGTTCAGATTGGGTTGCACGTCTCTAGTGTAAAGATGAAACTTTCAGAACATGTGTAAGTAATAGTCACTATTCATTTCCCAAAATTTCAGCTCCATCCGTCTGGCGCAAAAAGGTCGATTTTTCAACCTTTTTCATAATGATGTTTTGAGGCTTCTCGACGTGTTCATGCATGCTCTCTGACTTGCATTATTAGAAATAAAAAGGCGTTTATATGCGATTTTTATGCGTTACTTTGTATCTGAAATACTGTGTTAGAGAGAAAATTCTGTCGTGCGGATTTTATTCTTGTTGCCAGCATTTTGCTGTGCATTCTTTCTCCAGCATAAAAATACGTCTGAATAAGTTACACTATGTGAATGATATACATTACGATGGAATTATGTGATCAAGGCAACAATATGTGTCTCATATAAGATTTAAAAAGAAAGCATCTTTAAGCTCGCGTAAATGAAAAGATTAAATCTTCAATTTGTTTCTGATATACAGCTGTCACAGCTGTATATCAGTATTTTATGAGAGTAAATGTTCTTTGTACTTCTTACATTTGTAGAACATGTTTTTGTTATTAATAAACTTTTTCACCTTATTGACTTTTATCAAATGTGAAACAGCGGTTCATTATCAACACGGATATAGAGATTCATGTTTATCGTTTCAAGATGGCAATTTTAGTTTAATCATTTCTGCTCCACACGGAGGAAGTATTTTGCCGTCGGACATTCCGAATCGTGCTGATGGCTGTTTTGATTCGATTCTTAATTCATGTATCTGGACGCACACATGCAAACCAAAGAGTTCGAAATGCTCGGTGACCACCGTTGAAGATTACCTGAGCAATGAATTTGCGCAAAATGTGGCTAAAGAATTAGTAAAAATCTACGGCCTATCCCCATTTTTGATCATTGGTCAATGGAGTCGAAAAAAAGTCGATTTTAATCGAGAAATAAACGAAGCCACACTCAATCATTCGGAGGGTATAGCTGGTCATCGGAGTTATCATAATTTTATTTTGGATGCAATTGCTAAAGTAAAACAACAGTTTGGGCGCGGGTTATTACTGGATATCCACGGGCATTCTCAAGGTAATTACACAATGATTGGATATCTTTTAACCGGTAGCGAGCTGAACAATGATCAGTTACATTTCCCAACGTCCATTGAAGAAATTATTCAATCGTCGTGTGCTAACAATCGAAAAGAATGTTTAAAAGGTAAAATCTCATTTGGTACGATAATGGAAAAAAACGGTCTTGGGATTGCCTATCCGTCTCAAAATAACCCAAAGCCTGGGAAAGAAGTATTTTATGGCGGCGGATATATTACGCAAAACTATATAAAATCAATTAATGCAATTCAGACGGAGTTACCCTATGAAATACGCGCTGGGAATCAACGATACCAATATGCACAGAAATATGCAACCGCTATTTACCAGTTTATGACGGCAAACAATTTGCTGATCAAAACATGACACTAGACTGTTTTTCGCAATGTATTTTGTTTTGGGATAAACACAAATTATTCTTCGGTACCAATAGAAATTCAAAGGGTTTACCGATGGATTGGTTATCGATGAATGAAATTCAGCATGATAAAGTGTTTTAAAATCCTTCAAAAACCGAAAAAACAAGGATCTTTTCTAGCCCAGCGATATAATTTTAACGTGTAGTAAACCCGGGAAATCTACTACATCACTTGTACAATACTGGTGAGGTAACATTCTGGCACCAGTAATCGGAGCCAAAATGTGTCTTTTAATTTCGGATTCCTGGAGTGCGCAAAGCGATAAAATAGTTTATGAACAACTCAAATATTGTCAATGATGAGAAATACATATCAAATAGGACCGGTTCGTGCATCTAGCTGTTAGATGTCTGCTTCAATAGACAGTTTAAGGCTGTCATAAGAAAAGTCTATAATCACGTACGTCTTGGACGAAATTGACAGAAACATCAGTCAGAAAAATAACGTCATCGATCCTCAGACAATATCCACGGTTGCAGATTTTCAGTATGAAAAGCGAAACTCCATGATCTTATATGAGAAAATAAAGTACCTAGATTTCAAAGTGAGTCAAGTAAAACTCAGAGATGGGCGAGTCCAACTCCAGTCCAAATCAGTTATTGGTCCGCTATTTTTTCTTCACTTTATGTATGGTTTTAGATACTGGAATATTATTTCCTGATTCATAAGCAGCTCTCATCTCTCAAATCACTTTTCAAGAAATAGTGTTTAAATTTCTCAACACATCTGTCTTCAATATGGAGCCACGAATAAATGTCAAGACTTTATACGATCAAACCTTTTTGTTGGAAAAAATATAGAATTTAGTACGAAATACTTTGCATACCGAATCTTCAAAAGTTCCGAATTTGTTTCAAATATATAAACTTTAAAAGGTATCGTGAAGAACCATTTCTTTTTGAAAGCGTACTTTCTTACTTTTCTATAATCCTGTTAGTGGCATAAAAATTATCTGCTTTCAAGATTAATTCATAAGAAACAAATGATCAAATTTTCTACTTTACTGACCTCCGTTTGCAATTATCCCGGATTTTCAGTTTGGGAACAAATGCAACATTCTACACCAAACTCGATTTTGATGACATGCGTTAGCTATACAAAATTTTTTTATGCTTTGTACTCTTTCTTTATTGTGAAATGACAATTTTTTAGCCAAACCACGCGGTGTTTCACAAAGTATTGTCTGTTCAAATGAACAGTGGCCGCGGTCATTTTTTTTATAACCTTTTAACGGAAAAAAACGAAGATTTGTGACTTCCAGTGTCAGGACCTGACAGCATCTTCCTATCTATAAATCAGTTCTACCAATGAGGTCTACTACGGTGTACCCGATCGATGCATAACCAAAGACAAGATTGCCGCTTCCTAACTTTTCATGCAAGTCTAATGTTTAAAAACACACCTGACGTAAAGCGACGTCTGGTCTACATATCTGCCAAAATCCGACAGTTTCATCTGCAGTCATTCAGGGAGGGCCGGCTTTTCTTGAGACACGTCAGAACCGGATTTTCTTGATATTTAGAAATTTGAAAATGCATGGAAACAACACTACGCTGCATCTCATGGCAATGTTTGTTCTCTCGAAGAAGCTTTAAAACATAGTGAAAACCTATACTAGACGAATAATCTATTTTTCACCATTTACACCGAAAATTAAAAAATTCATAGTAAAAGTTAGTACGAAAGATAGGCTTGTTCAGAAAGCTATCTAGTAGGCCTTTCAAAACCAAAGTACTTGCTGTTGAAACTATTATTGAAGGTCATGGTGTAGTACAGATAAAATGGAGTATATTCTGATATTTTGAAAAACAATTTTGACTGAGTTTAGCAGAGAATGTAGCTGTTTTTTCCTGAGTTAAAAAGCCGAATTTTTTATTGTTAATAAAAGCATATATTTGTTTTGATTCTATATTTATTTCAGCATGCGTCCAATCAACTAACCTAATCATTTATCAAATAAATAAATTTACAAGAATATTACTGATGTTCCTTTCTGTTCGCTACCAGCGGTGGCATTTGTTAACGTTTTGTGCATTACGGTGTCGGAGTACTCAGTAAAAAATACTTTCATTTCATTCTCTGTACGATGGGTAGTACAAGCCACGCTTATATTAACACCTAAAGTTTTCATGTCGTCCTGGCTTTGAAGACTAGTTTGAGCACAAAGTTAAACGTTTTTGAATCGAAAAAATCTGTCTTTCAGGTCGACCAAGTGACAGGTACTAAATAAAAAGTGTCGATCCGAGTATCTTACATGTTCAGATATACGTCATTCCGGGGCCTGCTTTTTAAAAAACAACTTGTATCCAGTAATTTTGATTAGGATTTCTGTCGCAAGAGTATACAGAGACAATGTAAGTTTTCAGGTTCCCATCGGGGAAACAAACAGACAAATAAAAAGTGACCCAATGGACATGATTATCACTTTATATACGTTGAATAACCTTTTCTCACTCGTATAAAAACCTTTAGAAAACTCTACTTGTGAAAGGTTTGTCAGCGTAAGCCTCAAGGTGTAAACGTGCAACTCCTTCGATCGAACTTTAGGTTACGTTTCTGAAAGTTATTTCCTTGAGTCTGTGAGGACTTCTATAGATTACATTTCTAAGGCGTCTTTCTACAGACTGCGTACCCTTTGTATGGTGCACTTCAGAAGTATGATCAAATCACAGTTTGTATTGTGTATAAATTTACACTACTCTTTTTATATTTCATATAAAAATACATGCACTAAAACAATGTTTCACTAAATCGATCAATAACAGAACAGGTAAAAATGTTAGCTGAAAAACTTTTTTTGCAACTCTGCGATAAAAACCTCAGTTTTGGTGTAAATAAACATTGTGTGTGTGTGTCCTTTGATTTAGCAGCTCTTCCCGATAGCTTTTTACTTATCTGATTATTATTTATTGCTATATGAAGGTATTATACGTAGTAGAAACACTCAAAACTTGACAATAACCGTGAAAGTAAAACTGTGCAGTGACAATAATATATGCACGACGATAAATACTTACGATCTAACCTAGCGCATGTAGTGTATATAACTATATACACGCGTGTTAACCACAATGTTTGAGAACAGTAGACAGAACACAAAAATGCAAGAAAATGATGTGGAATGAAAAGGTCGATCGATTGTGAATACATATAAAAAGAAAAGAAAGAAAACCATGAACAACGACTACTATCAAAAATAAGTTTTTCCAATGATTTTGCAAGAAAAAATGTTTATCATCACAGAAAAACAAGAAGAAATAAAAATATCTTCTTATTACTGCACAACACTACATTTAAACTCATCAATAACATTCTTTGCAAATAAATCATCTTCTAAGAAGTCAATGGCAGTGGCAGCCATAGCTTCTGAAGCTTTAATTGTTTCTAGATAAGCCTCTTCTGTAATAGCAACTACTTCAAATTCTTTTGTATGAAATCCTATTGTTGATTCTTTGTTCATATTAGTGTTAGGATTAATTCGATATTCAGCATGAATTGCTGGTACTTCATAACTCACATTTCCCTGATCCGTTGAAGCCAATGCTATTTTTGATTGTTCTTCTTTTGATAGTATTTCAGAACCTTGAATTTTTGCATACTGTTCATATCGTTCAGCAAGTACTTGGTTAAATTTAACATCTTTACGTAAACCTGTTTCTGTAATTTTTACTTCACATCCAGTAGCTTTTGCTCCGGCTTCAAAACATGCCATTACACGTGGTTTTACATCTGTTAACAATAGATCAACATTCAATGCACGAATAAGAAAAGTACCTTTCGTATAATCAGGAATTACATTTGGTGTTGTTCCACCATTCACAATAATACCATGAATACGAGCCGTTGGATGCAATTGTTGACGTAATGCATTCATGGAATTAAATGCCGAAATTAATGCATCGAGTGCATTTCGTCCTTCCCATGGTGATGCAGCTGCATGGACTGCTTTACCAAAATATTCAACATCAAAACCAGTTATGGCAAGATAGCGAATGAAAGCACCGCCACCTCGTGGAGCTGGATGTAACATTAGATTCATATCAACCTGTTTATAGTAGCCTGCATTGATCAAATCAGTTTTTCCACCACCTCTCTCCTCTGCCGGTGTTCCAAATAATTTAATTGTACCAGTCTTCTTCTCGCTAGTAAGATAGGCTTTTAAGGCCAGAGCAGCGCCAAGACCAGTAATACAAATCAGATTATGTCCACATGCATGACCAATTTCAGGAAGTGCATCATATTCAGAATTAAATGAGACAGTTCTGCCGTTACCATTAGAACTTTGAAAAGTAGCAACAAATGCTGTGGGACGATTAGCAATGTGACGTTCAACAATAAAACCTTGGTTTTCTAGAAAATCTGTTAGTAATTTAGATGACTGAAATTCTTCGTAAGCAGTTTCACGGTATTCATGAATCTTTTTGGAAATTGAACGTAGATCTGTATCATAAACTTTGAATGCGTCGTGGATAATCGAACGAATATGGAGATGTTGTATCTGACTGTGGTCTTCTTCCTTCATTTATTGAAAGATTCTAATTTCACTATTAGACTTAAAATAACTGACAATTTAGTTTGCTAACTGCCATTTTTTCTTTTTCTATAAAAACAAAATAATATGAATAAAGTAAAAAAGAGATTGAATAACCATCGAAGACAAAGCAGAAGGAAAAACGCACAAATATTAGGAATCTAGCAAATAAGGAGATATCTCTTTGCACATAAGATATCTCATGTGCGCACATGTTTTTCGTCCCAGTGCGTCGATAGAAAAGAAAGAGAACAGAAAGTGTGCGAAAAGAGATATTCCCTTCTTTTGCTAGTTCTCTATTATGTTTGTACTGATAGGCAAGAAACGTCATTTTTCTCATTTCTGTTCTTTTGTCCTTCGTCATCTACATGCAGAGTTGACGTTAAAAAAAAACGAGGAACACTGATTGACTTTCTTGTCCTATTCCTTGCAGGATTCTTGTCTCTTGCCATTGTTTCAGACAAGAAACTTTAAATTTGCCTTGATAGATCAGACAAGATTCTTCTTTTAACTTTTTATTGATTTTTCATCTTTTTCTGTGAAAGAACCTTGTCTAAAATGGTAAGATTCGTCGACGATAGAATGTTTTGTCCATTCCCGTACTATATATAAGTTACATAATGTAACTATATACTATAGTACTTTTCTTTTTTTATGAGGTTTACGATCTGTTATCTTGTTAAGTATAAGGTTTTGACAGAAATTGAACCGAAGAAAATATGTTTTGAGCACCAATTTAGTTGGACAGTATTTACTTTGAGCACCAAAAATCAGGCTTTTTCCAATTTCTTTCTTGAAAGTGTTTCTAGAATTTTTATAATTAAAACCTAATCCATGATAATCACTATGTATATCCGCAACCGAACTAATTTCTATACCCGTTATAAATTTGAACTTTGACTGATGAAACATATTCAAATCCATTAGTACAGATGACTATCAGATTTTTCAAGAAAGACAACTTCTATTCTCTTACCGTGCATATAATATCTCTCTATAACTATGATTGTGTGATATCGCTTTCTTCCAACTAGCTTGACATGAACCTATCACCTACGCTAAAACTCTTTGTCAATATAATCGTTTTAATTGTAAACGGGCCATTTTGATTTTCTATTTTATTTCGAAATGAACGTCGTTCTTCTTTAAGTCATAAAAAAGTTACGGACGAACTAAGTTGTTCAATGAACTATCACAAATTTTTGTCAAATTTTTAGAGCAGATAGAGAAATGTGTCCTGAACATTTTTGTCTCTTGACATTTTTTTCCAAAGTGCTCTCCGTCGACGCTAGAGCGATGCAAAAACGGTCGTAAAATGCGGAAAAAAAGTGATTTTCCAGTCAAAAATTTTTTCCTTACGCTATAATTCCGTCAAATCAAATGCTAACGAGCTTAAATTTTTACAAGAGCTGTCTTGGTATGAGTACTATCCATGATAAAAATTTGAACTTGTTTGATTTAAGCGTTCACCAGAAATAGTTTATTCTTTAGACATAGACAAAACGTCATCGACCATTTTGCAAAGTGGTTTTGCAGCCGCAGATAGTCCGTTTGAAGGGCTCTCTACGGTTTCGTGAAGTAGACCCAGAGTACTACACTACCATGAACTGTCGTCGAATTTTTGGGGAAATGACGGAAAACACTGGGGGCCTCTTATCAAAAACGGTCAGCGCATCTCGGAAAAACCTGAAAATTTTTCTTTCAAAACCAATTGAAGTATACGTCATTCGATGCAGAATGAAATTCTACGTCTGAATGTGTATAAATGAACATTCCGCAGTGCACAGGAAGAAAGAAAAACGCCAAAAACTTCGAATTTTCTAAGGTTTTTCGGAAAACATTTTTCGAAAGTTATCTTGAAATTCAGCCACTTCCGTCAACTAAAGCATTTCTGATTCAATAGCTCGATGCACAATTCAATTTTCCATCGATCTCCGGAACTGGGGGATTTTTAACATTAAATTTCGATATTACTCCCTGTGTATTTATTAGCTTTCTTGTGTACAAATATAATTGAACTCTTTATCATTAGTTTAGTCGAATAGAGCAACGATTTCTGGACAAAATGAGACGTATCCGAGCTCTCTAAGAGCTTTTTTCAGGAAACAGCATTCAATTTTGGGACGGCACTAAGACCGTATCTTTATTGTTTTTCCGTTAATTGTCCTGATTTTGGTGGTATGGGACCTTCCGTAAATTGAACGCTGTTTTATGAGAAAAGCTTTTGAAGAGCTTGGAGACGTCTCATTCAGAAATCTTTGCTCTACTTGACTAAACTAATGGTAAAGGTTCAATTACATTTGTACACAAGAAAGCCAATAAATACAGAGGAAGTAAGTTTTTGTCAATTATTGTTGTCAATTATTCTGACTCAGAATTTTGTGCTGATCACGAATATGGGATCTAAAGTTAGACAAGGTAAATATTTCGTGGAGTCGAATGCCAAAAACTGAAGGTTGGTCCAGGTCAGTCCAATTGATATTTTGCAGGT